TCGAATTTAACCAAGTAAAGCTTTTCATCTTACCGTTTGAACCTCATCTCTATTTTCTCTATGAGTAGGTCATTCATGATAAGGAACTTAGTCATCCTAGATTATTTTAGGACTGATAATCGAATTTTATCACAATGCTCATGATGCTGTTGAATTTCATTTAGTCTTGCCTCCAAAAAAGGTTTTCACATCAAGATCTGACTGCATTTTCGAATCCCGTTGATAGCACCTATGAGACCCAGGGGAGTTCGTAACTACATCCTGGATGTGAAAATCTTTTAGGAGATAAAGCTTAGTTAGCTTCAATGGTATCTGGAGGCCTACTCACTTCATTGCAGAAAGACTCTATCGGTCTTTAAATCATATTAGGGGTTATTTGGTAACTAAGTTGTTATTGAAGTAATAAGTTTTTATTTTTCAACTTGTTATTATTATTAATTTTGGATTGATAGTAGAACTTTACCACAATGATTTAAGTAGGCCTCATGGTACCACTGCATTCCGTTAGACCTAGCTCCCAAAAAGGTTTTTTCATCCAGACTAGAATGCGGTTACCAACCCCATTGGGAGTACTGAGGAGACCCAAGAGAGGTCACGATTGTTGCTCATCCTGGATCGGCCAATCTTTCAGGAGGCAAAGCCCAGCGAAATTCAATGTCATCATGAGTCCTATTTACTTCACAGGGTAAAAACTCTACTATCTGTCTTTAAATCACATTAAGGGTGCTAGGGCGACTAAGTTCGTATCATACCTTCCATTATCTTCCCATTACTTTGTTTTTCTTGAGCTGTTCTTTCATGATTTTTTCTCTTACCATTCCTTCATTTCACTTCTGCACATTTGCCATTATGTAACTCTTTATCCATTTTAGTTTGTCCCTTTGTGATTTGTATAGATCATCGTCCATCTGCTGACTACCTCTACGCCGGGCTTGTTTCGACATACCTCTCCTCGGTTTCTTTGGGTGATTTTAGGGTTGGTGTTCGATTCTTCTAAAAATCCTAAAGCAGGCTTCATAATATATTTGAATTTCACTGAGTTTTATCCCCGAAAAGTTTTTTTCATCCAGACCAGACTGCGGTTTCGAATCCTGCCGTGGTCGGAACTGCTGTTTATCGCAGATGAGCAAATCTTTTGGGGGCAAAACTAAGTGGAATCCAATGGCATCGTAAGACCATTTAGGAAAACACTATTATCAGCCCTCCAAGTACCTTACGGGTTCTTGGCTTACTAACTTCTTATTGACCCTTCCCCTATATTCCTACTACCTTGTTTTCCTTGCTCTATTCTTTTATGCTTTTTCTCATACTATATATATATATTTTTTTTCGTGTTTATATCGTGTTATATGCTAGATTTCTTTTCCATTATTTATTTATTTAATAATAATGCCTGACGAAATGCATTGCTTTATTAATTTTTTTTGTCGATTTGACTTGTGCAGGCAATCGGCGATCTGCTGGCCTCCTACACTCCTGGCTCGTTTCGACGTACCTCTCGTCGGTTTGCCACTGCCTACGCCTATCTTGTGGACAGCGGACTCCAATTGGCCCAATCGAGTCCGCAATCGGGTGTCGGCAGCAGTGATGCCCATGTGAATCGCGATCTTCTAGTCGGACTGACCGATCTCTCGGTGGCCAGCCGACGCCTTTTGGATGAGGCGAGGCGTGTCTGTGCCCATCCTGACGACACACCGACCCGTGGTCATTACCAGAACTCGGCCAGGTGAGATACCTACCCACTTTATTTTACATACGCTTAGTTAACGAGTCGGCTTATTCAGGAAATATGCTTTATTCTACCTTGTGCTACCGTTAGATTGCTTGCAGGGGACGTCGATGAACTTCCCTCTAAAGCATCCTTTGCTATTTCAGACCTCATTCTTTGCAAACCGAACCAATGTCGGGCGACTGGGGGGCATACGGGCTCATTCTTTCTTTCACCTTTTGGACTTGGATTCACGCCTATATACATTCAGGCCTCATGTTTTCTATGTTAAATTATAGTGCAAAAGGCCTTTGCGAGCCCACATTGACACGCTAATGTTATCAGCTCTTGATACTTCATGGTTATGAATCTTATTCTCCTTATTATTGCCAATAAGCTAGTGTCAAATCAAGTTTTTCCGTCTCGAGCATCAATTTTACTTTAATACTTGTCTTATAGAAGTTACTATAATCAGTCGACGGCCTGCCTATGAATGAGCACTTTACCCATTGAGAAATAGACTTATTAGGGAATAGCTATGTTCTAATTACTTTCACCTTAAGGATGGTTACAGGGACTTCAATTAACCTCCATATAATGCTATTTCAAACATTATATTTTAATCGAAGATATGAAGAACAGGATTAAACCGTAGTCTTGGATCGACACTCCCGGCACAGTGGGAGCGATGAGGAAACCAGCTGGAAGTGTGAATATATTTCAGATAGGCCTAGATAAACAAGTAAGAAAATGTAAAATTGACGGGCGGATACGAGGATATAGGAGAGGTGAAGAGCTCAGAACAGAAGTAGAGATGCCACAACTGTTTAGCACACATTTGGTCAAAGGATC